AGGCAGTCCCATGCGTGTTGGGCCCGGTTGCAATTTCCAGTGCTGGCAGACCAATATATATATCCATCTCAAGCACGACTTGCTGTCAAGTACATAGCACTCCAGTTTGAAGTTTGAGCTGTCATTTAATATGCTCTACTATGAAGAAAGCAAGCATCTAGGTCTACAATGTGTGGAGATATGATGTCTATATGTACAAAGCATGACGATAGCGTGTTGCACGGTAACATTCAGAAGGAGGTGCGCCCGAAGGAGCACAAGGCCGGGCGACCAGTTGCCGACGAAGTCGAAGGCTTGTTGCCGGCGATCTCGTCGATGCGGGCAAGGATCTCCGGCGTGAGCTTAGGCATCACCTCGAGCGCCTTCAAGTTGTCGTGAATCTGGGCGTCGCTCGTAGCACCGAGGATGACACTGCTGGTGTTGGGGTTGCGAATGACCCATGCCTAATTGCGTCGTTAGAATCAAAGGTAGCGTTGATTGATCACACATGAGCGAACGTACAAGAGCAAGCTGTCCCATTGTGCATCCGAGCTCCTCCTCAGCGATCTTCGTGAGAGCACGGACAACAGAGATCTGGCGTTGACCCTCCTCCGACTGGAGGAACTGCTGCTGCTTAGCGAAACGCGGCAGATGCTTGTTCGTGTGGAAACGCGAGTTCTCCGGGATACCATCGTTGTACTAGTGACAATCAGCGATCAATACAAGAAGACTGCGAGATCGAACGAACCTTGCCGGTGAGCATACCGCCGGCGAGGGCAGAGTAGACCGTCGTGCCAACATTGAAGCGCTCGTAGAGAGGGGCGTATTCCTTCTCCGGGCGCTCGCGGTGGAAGATGTTGTGCATACACTGCTCGACTACCGGTGCGTGCAAGTTGTACTTCTCGGCAATAAGGCAGGCCTCCTCGAACTCCTTCGCGCTCCATTCGCTTGTACCCCAGTAGAACGCCATGCCTTGGTCGATGACCCAAGAAAACGCGCGGACAGTCTCCAGCATAGGGACGGTAGAATCGGGACGATGAGCGAAGATGATGTCGAGGTAGTCCGTCCTCAAGCGGGCAAGCGAGTCGCGGACACCTTCAATTATACTGATGCAAGATATGAGCTCAAAACCGCAATCAAAGACTTCTGTGGACGTACTGCTTGCGACTGAGGCCTGTGTCGTTCGGGCCCTTACGTGTGCCGAAGAAGACCTTCGACGTGAGGATGATGTCGCTGCGGCGAACCTTCAGCTCCTGCAAGACGCGACCGCTAGGGACAAATCAGCTTGGAGCATCAGACAAGAAGCAGATAGACGAACATCTCCTTCTCAGACTCGCCGCCGGTGTAGTTCTCGGCCTCGTCGAACATGTTGATGCCACTCTCGAGCGCAGTGCGGACGATATCCTTGACAGGGTCGCCGTTGACGGTGCCGCCAAATGTTAGCCCTGGAGATCTGTGTGAGCGTATGCTCAATCGGCCGCTTACAGCGCTACTCACAACCACCAAGGGCGAATACAGGAACACGCAGGCCACTGGATCCGAGCAGGCGGAAGGGCATGTTCTTTTGCTGGTATTCAAAGTGACCGTCGGACATGGTGAACGGATAGATGGTAGTCGAAAGGTGAAAGATCTAGTGTGGTATCGAAGAACGGGTATGCGTCGAGGACGAGAGTTAGAGGTGATGTGTCTGACAAGAAGAAAAAACGTCTGTCTTATATAGCGTTCGCCAGTAGTTGGAGCCGGGGTACCTGTCAACCTGCCGGATGCCGCATTTGCGTAGTGGTGTAGTCGCGAAAACGCGTTTTGGTGACCGACGGATTAGGGGTTGTCGGAGCGTTGACGAGAGAACCAACGGAGGCACCGTTCGGGACTTCATTACTCCAGGCGAAAGCGCGCCTTCCCGGTATCGTGTCTCTTGCCACATACGTCATTACACACTGTAGGTTTTGATATGTATGTTGAATCCCTCCCCAGATAGCGCTGAAGAGAGAGAGGTGGGCGTACACATTGTTGTCTAGAATATCCGAGCGGATTTTACGGTCAAAGATCTGCGCATCTGCGTATGCACACTCCGATGCCTAGAAGACGCTTCCGAGGACCTGTGACGTCGAGGGAGACCGCGGAACGTCTTGCAACGCGGTGGCCGAAAGGAACAAGGTTGTGAGTCGTTGCGGACTCGCGAAGAGCATCAAAGAGATAACTCCCGCTCCGGCACTCGTTATCATCGTGCGTATACGGCCAGCTGAAAAAAGTCCACATTCGTCTCGGTCATGACCCGCCCTGCATCTTGCTGCGATACGCACAACCCCGTACGATGTAGGATACTCTGCAGCGTTATCCATGGTGTTGTCGTAACGGAGATCAAAGCTAGCCGGGCACACCGGACGGAACGGAGGTATCCGGTCAACCTCTCCGCTCCGCGCCAAACTCGCGTGGGAGGGCAGATCGCTCATCTCCGTCTAGACCGATGCAGCACACGCCATCGGGTAGGTAAAATAGAGTAAAAATGCGAGATGACGATGGAGTCGCCCTCGATTCACATTCGACAGTTGATCACGGCAATACGAGATGCACCCGCTCCAAACCGACTTTCCTTTCTCGTACACAAGCAAGAGAAAACTTGCTGGAGCCACAAACTGAGTGAACGTTCCGATGTGTCGCGTCCGCGAGGCGGCACGCGCAGCTCAGCGGAATCATCTCCCGCCAGCAAGGAACTCAGTAGTGACGGACAAAGTGGTCCAGCGGCGGCCGGCCATAGGTGGGCTGGAGTAGTTTGAGCGTCATGTCACCAGAAATGAGTGCACATGCATACCAGGTCTGCGGGCTTGTTGTTAACGATAGCTTCTATCTTCCCGAGGATCTCCTGGGTCAGTTTAGGATAGATATCAAGCGCCTTAAGATTCTCAAGGAGCTGAGATTTGCTGGTGCAACTGTATGCCTATTAAGGTATGCGACGACGGAGACAAATCCGCAGAACGTACCCAAGGATGACCGTGCTGGTATTGGGGTTGATACGGAGAACCCACGCAAGTGCGAGCTGGGAAACGGTACAGTCGAGCTCTACGAAAGCGTTGCCGCATATGCGCATCAATATTGCGGTACCCTCGCACACGCTCGTGTACGTGTTTCAGGAACGTACCCTTTGCGGCGAGGTCGGATAAAGCTTTGACTTGCGCGATCTGTGCCTGCCCTTCCTCTGATTGCAGGAACGCATCCTTGCCCTTGAAGAAGTCTCGGTTAGTATCAAACCGCGATCCTTTGGGAATGACTGCGTCATTGTACTGTGGAGAATGCGTTAGCCGCATGCTACATAGATACCCAAGTGAATCGGACCTCCCTTTCCGGTCAGCATCCCGCTGGCAAGGGCAGAGAACACGGTGGTTCCCATATTGTACTTCTTGTACAAAGCGCCATACTCGCCTTCAGCCCGTTCACGAGCCAGCAAGTTATGACGGCATTGCTCAGCGACCGGCGCATGATAGCCGTATCGCTCGGCAATCTCTGCATGTTGTGAAGACGTGCAATGACTCATGGGAATGCACACGCACGGTGAGCTTCCTCGATCTCCCTGGCACTCCATTCCTAATGTGCGAGATATAGTACTTTCCGGGACCGAATGAATCCAAACGCACGGATGTCCCCCAGTAGTGAGCCTGTGAGTATGATCAGGCCACGAGTAAAGACGCGTTCGAGCCGCCCACTCACAAGACCTTGGTTGATAACCCAGTCAAAGGCACGCACAGTCTCCAGAACGGGAGCTGCAATTACGAGCCTCAGTACTCGGTAGACGGGTCCAAAGTCACAGAACAACATACTCGTCGTGTCCGGACGATGCGCAAAGACGATGTCCAGGTACTCCAACTGCAAACGCTGCAAAGATTCCTTTACTCCTTCTATGATACTATACGCAAGTGATGCATATCAATGATCCAGCGGACTTAGTTATACGCACTGCTTGCGCGACAGCCCCATGTTGTTTGGTCCAGGGCGGGTGCCCCAGAATACCTGGCAGATTGAGACACGTGTGTGCGAGAGATGGACTGTACATAACTTACCTTGCTTGTGATGACAAAATCCCCCCGACGAACTCCCAGCTCCTTGAAGACACGACCCAGTTCAAGCTCGGATTTCCCCTCAGCGTAGTTCTCTGCCTCATCAAACATGCAAACTCCGTTCTCTATGGCCGTCTTCACGATATCCTACATGAGTTGACAATCAGTCTCAAGATGATGGATCATGGATTGGAATTATATGCGCCTTTACAGTGTCGCCCGTGACAGTATTACCGAACGTGAGCCCTGGTGACGGCGCTGTCGGTTCCCGTCTACAAACAGGTTTCGAATAACTCACAGCCCCCGAGGGAGAATACAGGGACACGCAGGCCGCTGAATCCAAGTCTGCGGAAGAGCATGTTCTTCTGATTGTATTCGATTTTGACTTCATTCGACATGATGGAGAGCAAGGGGGGCCGAGGGTGGCTCAGACGCATGTTTCCGCTGCTTTATAGGAGCGCTCGGAGAAACGCCGCAATCGGCCCGAGAAGCGATAGAGCTCATGGACAGAAGTCTGAATGACCATCGTGATCATGACTGCCGCCATGCGACTTCTTCCGAGAGCATCGTAGCTGCCAGCCGTACCATTGGCCAGCCGAAGGGCACACATGCGTTAGTTGTTGTAGTCGCCTAAGTTCTTCTTTTCAGAGCAGAGCCCAAGTCGACGACGTGGAGATAAAGTAGAGAACGCTGCTTTGAGCTTGCCTGGCACTTGCAGTTGCTTACACGACCACGTATGTGAGTGAATGATGATATGTAAGGGCCGCGGGCAGGTTAGGTGGTGGTAATAGGTCAAGCGACAGAAGCGCGCGACGCGCCATGTCACGGACATGACACATTTCCCACGCCTGTGCATACTTACTCTAGTCTCAACATGACGTCGCGTCTACTCTGCATCCATTCGTACGACAGTGATGCAATATACATTCTTGTTGTAGCCAAGTCTTACTTCATATATACAATCATGAAACCGCTTCTACTCTACTGAGGGCCGCCACCTACTAGTACAGGTGTTTGGAGAGCTAATGGGAGTACGATCACTTGCGGCCGAAAGCGTCGAGCTCGGGCCGTCCATATGTGGGCTATATAAGCAGTTAGATAATAAAAAGGGGGACGCTCAGAATAACTGACCGGGGGCGCAGGCTTGTTATTGAAGATCTTATCGATCTTCTGGAGGATCTCAGGCGTGAGCTTAGGGTAAATCTCAATCGCTTTCAGATTCTCAAGCAATTGCTCAGGGCGCGTCGCGCTGAGCTCAACATGAGGGTGTGACCTGAAAAGACCCGATAATGTCACGTACCCAAGAATCACGGTGCTCGTGTTCGGATTGGCAGCCACCCATGCCTATCGAAAGGTTAATGAGGGCAACATCCAGGGGATAGAGAACGACGCACGAGAGCAAGCTGGGCGGTAGTGCAGCCTAGTTCCTTCTCTGCAATCTCAGTCAACTGGCGCACTTGCGCAATCTGCGCCTTGCCCTCCTCAGTCTCCAAACGAGCGACAGTGTTCTTGAAGAAGTCCGAGTTCGTGTCAAATCGACTGCCCTTCGGAACACCATCATTGTACTTGCGAGACATCAGCGGCAGTCTGAGTACACAGGAGGCCAGTGCTGACCTTGCCCGTCAGCAGACCTGACGCAAGGGCAGACCAGACTGTGGTGCCGAGGCCGTACTTCGTGTAGAGAGGAGCGTACTCGCCCTCGGGGCGTTCACGATGGAATAAGCTGAGTTGACCATCAGCGAAGGCATATTCAGCATATTGAACATGCTCACTGATGCTGGCACTGTTCTGCAACAGGCTGATGCAGACCGTGACGAATCGCAATCTCTGTGTGAGCGTCAGCAGATGAGGGCGGACATAGTCTTGCGCGTACGAATGGCTTCCTCTATCTCCCGTGCACTCCACTCCTATGGACTTGTCAATTTCTCATTTCAGCAAGAATAAATTCTATGCGTACTGAGGTCCCCCAGTAGTATGCCAGACCCTCATCAATGACCCACGAGAAGGCTCGGACAACCTCCTCCATAGGTACTGCAGAGCTGGTGAGTAATTCGAGTACACAACGAGCGCTTATACCTACCGTTGGGATCAGAACGATGAGCGAAAACGATATCCACGTAGTCGGTTTGCAGGCGCTCGAGGGCCTCCCTAGTTCCTTCGATGATGCTGGAAGGATACTGGTCAGGTGGCATTCCGACAGACGACTCCAGTGGATTTTACGAACTGCTTGCGAGACAGACCTCCGTTGTTGGGACCAGGACGGGACCCCCAGAAGATCTGAACGCCGAGTATCTCACTATGCAAGCAAACCGATCATAGAGGCGCTCCTCGCACCTTGGTGGTCAGGATGATGTCGCTGCAAAGAGATATGAGCGATGGAAACGGGTGTAGGCGAAGGTTGACATACGCCCGTCGCACATTGAGTTCCTTCAATACGCGGCCCCTGAAAGAGCGTTAAGAGCCCGTCAGGAGCGCATGGTTATGGTAGGACTCGGGCTCACATCTCAATCTCAGATTGGCCCTTTGCTGCGATAGTTGAGCTTGATGAGCAATGTGAAGGACAGAGAACATACCGTAGGTTTCCGCCTCGTCAAACATGTTGACACCATTCTCGAGTGCGGTACGAACAATGTCCTGTACAGGTTTTTAATGAACAGTAAGCCGTATGAGGAATGGAGATATACCTTCACGGGATCCCCGACTACAGTGCCTCCAAACGTCAACCAGCCCCCAAGCGAGAAGACCGGAACGCGGAGCCCGCTGGGCCCCAGACGACGGAAGGGCATGTTTTTCTGCTGATACTCCTGCATGGCGAGCATAAGTCACATAAGTTGTGCGGTAGGAGTAGACTCAACGTACGAAGTACTCAGGCATGGTGCTTATTCGTCGGCGAGAGGTGTGAGAGGGCAAAGATGGGGTTATCGCGACCCGCGCAGTGAGCCCGACGGGTTTAAGAGATACACGCGAAAGCTTCGAGAATGTCCTCATTCTGACGCCGTTTCCTAATAGAGCGGAGTCCGCTGACTATATGATAGCTGGCGATCGCACGCGATCCACACCAGAGCAGGAACGCGCGTATGGGATGACCGAATTCCCGAGCAGCATCGTGGGGCACCCGTCGGATGCGACGGGCGGCTGTTCGCACTCGAGTGGAAACAACAAATGACATCCCAATATCTTGAAAGGGAAAGTCGGGTTCGCGTGTCGGCGACGTCGAGGAGAGAGCAAGCGTTGCGCGGCGTGCTCGAAGGGCGGTCACAGATGCACGCGACGGTGACCGCGAGACTCGGCAATCGCGCGGCTCGACCCCGCACTTAAGCTTGGCACTCTCCACCATGCGCTTCACCTTGTCTACTCTGTTCGCTCTCGCGACAACCGTCCTTGTCCGCGCCGCACATACTGAACAGATCGTCATGAGCTCTCCCGAAGGACCTAACCTATTTGATCTCCTGACCATCGAGCCGTCTGTGTCCATATTCTTCTCCTATGCTCGGGAAACGGAGATTAGCAAGCTGTTGGTGGATCGGCCGAAGAACACATTACTGGTCCCGACAAACCGTGCTGTTATGGCGCTGGCCAGGAAACCGTGCGTCTGCATTCGGCTCAATCCTCGTCCGTTTCTCAAGTCATGTTGGACGTAGTCATCAAGACGCCTCCCCTGTGGACGACGGCCTAGAAATGACCGAGCAGGAGCTTGATGAGCGGTCAAAGGGCAATGTCCTTCGCTGGGTGTCCATGCATATCATACCCGTACTATCACTTCGCTGGACTTGGCATTCGCTGCTCGCTCACCATCACACACAGATCCCTGATCTCGAGCTTGCAGATCGCGAATACCCGACGCTTGCGGATGATAAGAGTGTCACCTTCAGACTAGTTGATGCAGACGAAAAGAAGCCGGACTGGGCTCGCTTAGCCGTCGACGGGGAGATACATTTGCTGCAAAAGAAAGAGGTATGTCGCAAGTCGTGTCGATACCCACTGTCTCTTACACCTCCGAAGGCAAGCAATGGTGTATTCTATATCGTGGATGGAACAGTCAAGGATGAGTGACGGTTTCCGTATTCTCTTAAGACGATATCTGGATCTTCCCCGCTCTTGTATAGTACCTATATATGTATCGCCTGCTGGAATTGTACGTTCACGTGTTGCTATATCATATAACCATCAGGATCCCACAGAATCACACCTACAACAGTGGTGAAGCAACCATATGAGGTCATCACCGCCCGGTCCGGCTACCCGCTCATAAGCAACGCGCCCACGTGCAGAGTTGAACCGAGTCGAAAGTGTGTGGTTCAAGTTCTTCGAGATCTGCCACCTGCCGTCACTTTCACTGCTCGTCGCAAACTTGCACTGGTCATCCTTACTCGCATACTCTATGGCGCGACTCACTCACTGGAAGCAGCCAGCCTCCAGCCCGGAGGAGCCCGACACCACTCTGGACATGACTTTCCAGATCCCAGAAGCCGGTCATGCGACACAGCTACTGAACATGGGAGACGACGACTTTCTCGATGGGACAGACGACACCTTTGGCTCTCCCCAGCGCAGTCCTCAGCAACATGCTTTGGCGCAACCTCCACTCACGCTTGAAGAACTCACGCCGCGAAAGAAATTGAAGAGCAACCTAAGAGACGTACTGTCTACCAAAATTTACGCAGAATCAACACCCTTTCTGAAGCGAGACAAGTTCTCGCCTGTTCGTGCGTGTAATGCCTCCCAACGATTGTATCAGCGCTGACTTGTACTCAATGAATAGGCCGCACGCGTGCAGGTCAAGATGAGGAAAACGTGCAACCACATGATATGATCCACGAAGCCGCAGAGGCAGCCCCAGCTGGTTCATCGTCCCGGTCGACGTCGCCCAAACGAATACCGTGCGCTCCCGCACGCCCGCAGTCTCAGAGACTGACTTCGGACGACGATCTCGCCAGCTCGAGTCCTCAGGGGGTGCGCTTCTTTCTTCGAATGCTCATTCATCGCCATAATGTCACCGACAGAATGAAACCATGGTGAAATCGATACCCCCGAGCGTTCCAGCTCCGGCCACAGGATCTACCGAGACCTTGGATGAAGCGCTCAGGCCAATGATCACCGTATGTGCACAGATGCTTGGCCTCGTTGTTGTTGTGCTGATGCCTAACGTATCAGGCTGCCTCCAAAACCGTTCATTCTGAGACGAAATCTGAAACTCTCTCGATGCCTTCCGTGCCTCGTGCCCATCCGAAACCGTCTCGTTCACGGCAACATACCAGAAACCCTTCGACCTTGAGCAACGAAGCAGTGAAGACGCTGAAAGTGCGCCACTTTTTCGCATGAATCGCCATATCCTCACATTTACGGATAGGCTGCTGCAACTCATACTGCGCGCCCAAAGAAGACAACGACCATTCCTGCTACGGACACACAGCGAGCCCCCGTGCAAGGACGGCCAAAGACCGCACGGCCTGTCGGATCAACCGACGACACTGCCAAACCCGCTGAGACAGAGATGCAGTGCTCAGAGCCTGAGTACGTGAAGTTCGGACGGATTATTGTCTTTTATTCATATTTCTTCTAGTATGTCCCCAGACTCTGCTGCAAGCGTACACCCACATGGGAGTGCCACTGTGATTACCAACGTCTCCGAGTCGTACGATGGCCTTTCATACTCTCGACCGTCGACACCTCAAGGTCGCCGGGCGTCCAGTCCTTTGACGGTATCCAAACTCTCCCCGTCGAAACGAACACCGGATGCCGTACTCGCCCCGCTCTCGTCAGCGCCAATGCAGAGCGCCGAACGCGCTCCGTCGTCTTCGATCGCAACTACCCTCCATCCGGTGAAGCCTGTGCCCTCGGCGCAGACTAAGTCCGGGCAACTGTCTAGGCAGCCACTTGCGTGGGCGCTGAGCGATGCGCCTCGCAATGACTTGCCATCAGCCGCCCCTGCGCCGACAGCGGGTTCATCGAGGGCAAAGGCGAAGCCAGTTATGAAGGTGCTCGCTGGGAAGCCCCAGGTCAAGAAGCAGCCAGCGCGCCGTCGTTCCTCCGTGCAGCGGAATTATTGCGTGCCATCGGTGGCCACGAAGCAAAAGTCCGTGCCTCGACCTGGTGCTTTGACTGCGAAGCGTCGCGCGGGATTGCAAGACCAAGAACAGGCAGGTGCTGCCGCTCGCCGCCGAGACGCTGGGTTTGCGTCGTCTGGGGAAGGCAAGAAACCGGTAAGCCAATGCTCTCCGCATTTCCAGCTATCGACTCATGCATGATGCTCGACCTAGATGCAACGCCTCACAAAGCCAGTTGAGTTCCACTTCAAGGTGGAGTCGCGCCTGTCTGCGCGTAAGGCATCCGATACTCAAGATGCGCCTGGAACTGTTGCTTTGCGCGACCCGTCGATACCGGACTTTGCGGCGCGCCATGCAATCGAGGCGGAGCGTACTCAAGCCCGTAAGGGGCGCATCGCCCCGACTATCCCTCAATCGCCTGGCTTCACGGTGAATGCCCGCCTTCGCGAACGTGAAAAGTTTGAGGAAGGTCGTCGCGCTCGCGAGGCGGAGATAGAGCAACAACGGGAGCTAGAAAGGCAGCGCGAGCGTGAGGCCGAGGAAGCTGAGTTGCGTAGACTACGCAAGCTCGCCGTTCCGAAGGCCAATGCAGTTCCCGAATGGTACGCACATGCACCCAAGAAGAGTAGTCGCTCTGCCTCGTCCAGCACTTCAGGGGCTGCATGATCTTCGCGTGACTCGCGCTCTCTGTTCGCTTCGCACCGCCTTTGCATATAGCTTTCTTCCATTTACGGATTTTGCTTCGTGATGCCCCCATGTATCCTTGTATGAGTTTGGACAGACGATCTCGATGATGACTGGTTGATGACTGGAACGCGAGGCGACGGCATGCAAATGCAGCTGTAGCGTTTGACCACTGCATTAACACGTTGCTCGGTGGCGAAAGTAGTGCGATGTGCATCGAACCTGATGGAGTAAGTGCTAACTCTGCCGACACCCGGCGCCACAGCCACTCGCCACTTGTCACCCTTGGCAGAAGTCCAGTGGCCTCGTTAATAGGTCCGATATCTCTCACATAGTAACGTCTTGCTATCATTCGCAGCCGTTCTGCAACCGTAAGCGGCAGGGTCAGTGACCTTTGACAGCAGGGACGTGAATAGATCGGGAATGTTCGAGGAACAAAGGAACGAGAAGAGCGTGCGCAGATGCTAGTGGTCTTGGGCGACAGCTTCTTGATATAGTATAGCCGATGTGTCGTGTAGTCTGACTGTTCGTATCTTCGTGTCCTAGACGCCGAGCTAGTGCAACAGCACGTTACCCTATTGAATGTAAATACACGTACGATCACCGTGCCACGGCTACAGCAGAAGGCCCCTGCATCAATCACCAGACTCACACAGTTCGGAGGTGGTTCGAGGTGGAAGAAGGTGGAAGAAGGGCACAGCCCTACGCGCGAAATCGGATCGCGCGTAGAAGCGAGGCAGATCAGGAGGAGAGGTTCATGAGGTCTTCCACACTCGTGGTGAAGCGGGCCAAGCGGAACACAAGCCCGGATACTACACAATCCAGCTGTACAGACGCGAGGTCAGAAGGCCTCAACGGTCCAAGTACGGGTGCTTCTGTCTTCCGGGCGCCGCAGATATTCGATGAGTGACGACTGACGGGATGGCATTGACAAGCTGCGAGCGAACTAGTCGTATACCAATGACAACGCGTAGCAGCATCATCCGAGTTACAAAGACAAATGTATATCGGGACTAGCGCTGGGCGCCACCCACGGGCCAAAATACGGGCCCGGTCGAAGTCGTCCCGTGTATCCGCGCTCGTATAGTGCGTTATCAGTTCCGATGGTCGAGTAAAGAACGATTTATCACAAGATGGAAGGGCGCTCAAAGGCGGCGATTGATGGCGCTGCGCAAGATGCAAGGCGGACATGAGGCAACAACCACCGGGAACTCGCGCCTAATGCCCGATATGGATTTCATCCTATATCTGCGCGTCAGCGTCACACGCAGACTTTCCGTAGCAGCATATAAGCACGTATCCCGAAAGGCGGATGGTCAGCACCTCATCCCCCCGCTTCAATCCACCTCAAACAATCGCAAGCATGCAATCCTCTGCCACTGTTATCACATCTTCGTCTGCCGCTACTTTTACGGCGGCAGTGCCACTCTGCTCAAAGGCGGATGAGTCTTCGACGCCGGCGAACATGAGCGCACCACAATGCTGCCACTGCGGTAAAGTCCCCTCTCTCCTGTCGATCTATGCATGATGTTGAGAGAGGATCTCAGGCTGGCGTGGCTCCCATGCACCAAACTGCCCATTCCGCCGCCACTAGTTCAGTTTGCATGTATCCACCAGGTGCGTGGGCTATCGTCCTCTTGTGGAGTAGCATCTGAATAACTCGCAGTTTAATCTATGCACTCTGTCCGCATCCTGTACCATCACCATCGTATTCTCTCTTAATCGCGCTTCCTGTCCCGCTCTCAGCCACCCGCTGTCCCGCGCGCGGCGGAGCACCGCTGTTGGAACGAATCTTGGTTCTCCATCGCTTTCTTGTACATGCTGTGTCATCATGTTGTATTATACCACTGAGCTACCGCATACGTTGAATCCCGTCCTCACCTTTGTCCGCTCATGTGTTCGGCCCGAGAAGTTCGACTCGTCGACGCACCCGCTCCGAGATCTGCTTAAACCATGTTCGTCGTGCCGACGGGTGCCTGTGATGTTTCAAGGCCCCAGGCACTCAAGCGCTGCCCGTGAGATCTTGAACTTGAGCGTTGACACGAGTCAGCGCGATGTTGACCTCGAGGTCACTGAGCCAGCCACACCGAGTCTGCAAGGCGAAATGTCGTGGATACTCGTACAACAGATCGCGGGTGATCTTCGAGATACGATACAGCTGACCCTGGTAGCATCAATCGATCTGCGCCGATGGATAATCGCCGGGCAGGGCAGTACAGTGCGACTTCTGGATGACGAGAGTCCTCTTTCTTGCCATTATGCAGTTTGGTCCTACATCCCACGTTACGGTAGTAGATTCGCAGCTCCGTGATACGGATGCGAGTAGCCCAGATAGTGACAGATTCATGCGCTGATCATGGTCGAAAAACAAAAAGCAGCAAGTGGCGCGCGCTGTCTGCGGGTCACACGGGCCGTCGCGGCCGCACGAGCCACCGGAACGGTAACGTGTCTACCGGTCCCCACCTCCGCTGCTTGCTCACGACAAGCATGTCGGTTGGACCTCCGGCGCATAGCGATGCGGTGAAAGTCGCGATTCCGGCCGAACATGTGCTATTGCTCTCGATGAACCGACCAAAGGCTCTGAACGCTATGTCCTTTGAGATGGAACAAGACTTGAGGACGCTGCTTGACTGGTTTGACGAGGAACCCAGCTTATGGTTTGATCCACCCTGTCCATACTATTTACGGGCAAAAAGTGAAGCTGCGTTGTATTTCAGGGTCGTCATCGTCACCGGAGAAGGTCGTGCCTTCTGCGCGGGCGCCGACTTGAAGCTGTGAGCCCTCTGCCCGCAGCTGTGCGTTCAGGACCCCGCACTCACCAAGCGCAGCTGGAAGCAGAAGAAGGAGGAAGGCTATAACGACCAAGAAAGAATTGCCGCCAATGTTCATGGGTTCGGCTCGTTATCACGTCGTATCATGGCGAAACCGATAATTGCTTGTGTGAATGGAGACGCATATGGTGGCGCCGTTGAAATATTGCTCAACTGTGATATTGTCATCTCCTCTGAAGACGCCAGCTTTGCTCTACCCGAAGTTAAACGCGGCGTCATTGCTGCTCAAGGCGGTAAGCTCACCTTGCATCGTGTTGGTAGTGCACACATTCCCATCCAACTGATGCCTTGAACTCAGTTATTCCTCGACTTCGTACCTCTGCTGGTCATCAGGTGTATATTACGACTTCAGCCCTGAGGTCGCAATTGCTTATGCATGGATGTACAGTTCGCGGCGGAGATGCTTTTCCTCGGTCGGAAGATTACTGCCATTGAGGCTCAACAGAGATTCGGTTTGTGAGCGCATCTAGGTACCCTATGCACTCGGGGCAGACTAGCTCATCCGAGTGCGTTAGCGTCAATCTAGTGGTCCCTCGTTCCCAGCTTCTCTCCACGGCCGTCGATTGGGCAAAAGAGATCACCCAGAACTCTCCGGACGCAGTGCAAGCTACGAAACGTGGACTCGTCATCGCAAGTCGTACGGGAGACAATGAACGCGCGGTTCTAGATCACGCTTGGAGTGCAGAGAGCAAACGTGCATATACCGGCGAGAACATTAAGGTTCGTAAATCTCTTGGAGCTTCAGGTAGACACGATGTTCCAACGGGTAGCTCTTATAGGAGGGCTTGGTGGCGTTCTCAGAGGTATGTCCGTCTGGGTATAACTTATATTGATATCTTATGCCCATTGTCTAGAAACGCGGACCGCATTGGAAGAACCCTGCGAAATTATAGCTTCGCTTGAGATTGAATACGCATCACCTTTGTACGATATATTGTGTTTGAGACCGCACCGTCCATCATCGTCTGTAATTTTACATTGGCCGATCCAAATACTGATATGCGGCTGAAGAGTAAGACGGAGTGGGGAGCATTTGATGAGATCGAGTCGCGCGCGTTGGAGGCCAGTCGCGTTTGACGCGCCCAGTCACCACTCGCGCATGGCCTCCTCAGAACCGTCATCATCATCTGCTTCTTCTGCTGCCGAGGCTCCCTCATCCCCTCCTTCTCCGAAGGGCAATGCGTTCTTTAGACGATGGCAACGGGAATTTTCGCTCCTTACAGGTTTAGGGATAGACGAGGATGAGCGCGTAAACACCATTAACCGACGAAATTGTGAGCGTTGGAAGAGGGAATTGTTCCATTACAGTGCGCGGCCACATTTGAAAGTCGTATACGCGCCTAACAACACATATAGGTCCATCCGTGACCTTCATGTTGAAGCACCTGAAGCTCGAAGGTGCCGAAGTAGGACCCGAACACTTTCCCTGTGTCCCTTGTGACCTACAGCGTGCTGGCGGTTTCGACCATACCACGGGGAATGTAATCCTATGCCAGGGTAACTTTGGAAGCAAGAAGCACATGGAACATACGATGACACACGAACTCGTTCACCTATATGACAACGTCAAGTTCAAGGTCGACTGGCTGAACCTCCGGCACCATGCTTGCAGCGAGGTGTGTTCGCAACCGAAACGTGCGTCGTGCATGGCGTGAAACCGGCTTTAGATTCGCGCAAACAGCCTGGGTGGGGACTGCAAGTGGCTGCGCGAGATTCAACGTGGGCAATTCAGCTTCTCGAAGCAGCACCAGGTATTTCGGGCCGAAAGTTCGTGTGATAGTTTGGCCTCACCGTTTCCCTCAGGCTTGCGTTCGCCGACGTGCGGTCTTGTCAGTCATGTCCAATCCAGCGTGTACCGACAAGGCTGCCGCTGAGAGGGCCGTGAACGAGGTCTGGGAATCCTGCTTTAATGATACAAGACCGTTTGATGAGGTGCGTGCGGGATGTGGGTAGCAGCCGTGGGCATATGTTCATCTATCCCACAGATATATTGATTCATAGACTGACATAACTGAAGAAGAGACGTCGGGGCGGCGTCGTCTGGACTACCGTTACATTTATCTTAATGGACACTTTACATGGCGTCACTATGCGAAACCCATAATACACTCCCACTCACGCAAACTTGCTTCTGTGTCGCTTCGGAGAACACGCTCGGGAATAGGAACTTTCTTGCCCTGCATAGCAGTCCGATTGCCGAGACGAACATCCTCGTGGGGATGGGGATTGACGGCGACCACAAATAGCCGTCGTTGTCCGTTTCAACGTTGTCTTCCATCTTCCACGACCTTGCACTTACGCCCGCCAGCCCTCTTCACTCCCCCTTCTCCGACAAGAGATGCATGCTCAACTTGCTCTTATTGTTGCAGTCGCATCTGCCGTGACTGCTATCACGTTCAACACTCCGTCTAATGTCGTCAGCGGTCAACCAACGACGATCTCCTGGACATCTTCTTCGACGGACCCTTCAACGTTCTCCATCGAGCTTGTCAATGCCCCGCTACTCGGCAATGAGATTGCCATTGCCAACAATGTAGCGACATCGTCGGGCACCACCACAGCTTCCATCCCTGTCGTTCCGTCTGCGTGAGTGCCGAACCCACGTCGCACCAGCTTCGCGCTCTTTCTGACGTCTTATTTATTTTTAGCGATAATTACACAATTATCGCAGTTGACATCAGGCACGTGTTTCTATTCTGGCCAATGACCAAGAGGCAGCATTGCTCATGAGGCCACGACAGTAACATCAACAATGTTTTTGGTACAAGTGGTGCTTTCGGTGTGACGCAGCCCGTCAGTTCGTCGGCCTCCAGCACCTCGAGCAGTGCGGTGAGCTCCGCTGCTTCAGGTAGCAGCACCGCCCCGTACGTTTTCCTTCCATGTTCTGTTGTCATCGTGGAACCGACACGTCCGTTGCGCAGGGGGCTGTCCGCCGGTTCATCAGCCGCAACGAGCGCCGCCTCAAGTGCATCTAGCGCCGTCAACAGCCTTTCCTCGAACATCGTGTCCGCTGCCAGCTCGGCCGCGTCATCAGGCGCCTCGAGCGCATCACAATCCGCCGCCGCCGCATCATCGTCCAGCGCTAACTTCAACGCTGCAGTCGGTGTGCATTCGAACATGTACATCGTTGGCTCGTGTGCTGTCGCGGCTGCTGGCGTCATAGCTGTGCTCGCGGGCTTCGCTCTCTGAGCGTGACGTATACCATCCACCCGTTCCTTCGACGTATCGAACTTTGTTGTTTCGACATGGACATTCGCATCTAGTGTCTTCATCATGGACTTCTGCATAGCATCATACCGCACGTGTCGCCGCTATCGGCCATATTTCGGTCCCCATCCTACACTGTCATTACTCTTCGATGCATTTCTTTGTCATCTCTAATCATCCACTCCCAGGCGTGTGCGAGGCGTGTATTCTTGCATTCCGCATCGGGTGTGACAGCGACAGGATGGTAGCCGGCCAACACATCCATTCCCATACTACTAGACTTCCGACTAAGCCACCCAGGTCCCAAAGCAAGACCACTGTTCTCGCCCCCGCAGAATGCCAAGGGGCGAGCGTCGGTTGGGTGCGAATTGTCTGTGGACGAATATATCCTTATTCGACGTCGCATGCCGTCGCGTCCAGGCAAACATGCATCCATATCGCACACGACCCTAGACCATGACACAATCTGCCTACAGCGGTTAGGGTCGATTCAATTGAATAGAGAAGCACCTTCGATGCATTCAAACCTTGGTGCCTGCCAGCGCTTCTCTCAATCGAGCATAGGCGTCGGCGTCGATATGCCCCCTGCCGATGTTCGACGCCGCGATTATATGTCGCCGCGGGGTTGAGCCGTACATGCCGCCGGTGGTATACAGTCGATGTTCCTCTTGGGGCTGAAGAACGTCAGCGCTCGACCCTCATGATCCCGACGAGGGTCGCGGCGCCCGCGTTGCCAGGCGCTCCTGTGGCGCACTGGGTGTGTGAGTGCAACTACAGTACTCGCGCTCATTCGCATCTCGATGTTGTGCTTGCGCGCTCGCGCGCGATGAACCTACGCACAAGCCTCATGAGCGCCTTCGATAGAAGCACTGTGGCTGCGCTCGTTAGCCTAGGTCAATGAATAGATCGGGATCCGGCCGCTCAGATGGACTTTCTGTTCGCGTAGAGCCTCCGACAGCAAGAGAAGGCTTCGACTGCGTCGATGTCGAGGTTCGGATCGTCAGGGCTTTGCCAATTGAGCTTAGGAGAGTTTGAGCACGCAAGGCGCTCGAAGTGTGATCATGGGCGCAAAACATCCGGGTAGTCGTCCTCGGGTCCTGATACTCATTCGCGCGGTCCCGACGAGGGCCCTCGAAGGTCACAGGCAATATGCACCTTCTGCGGTAGGCAAAGGAGGGTATACCGGCGCGATCATCACAAGATTCGGCGCAGCGAGTGACAAGTGGATGCCTTCGCAGTGTCGGAAAGCCTTAACTCCGGCATCCGGAACAATGGACTTCATTCAACCCCGGATGAGCGCTAAGCATTAGTTCAAGTCACCTGTAGGTAATGGGCAGTAAATACAGTAGCCGCAATACTACGAACATGCGCGATGGTGAGCGGAGACCATAATACACCCATTCCGCAAGGAGGTAGGCTGGGTTATGTACATCGGTCCATCATACTTCTTGCTCGGAAGTTCGAGTTAGAGGCGCGAGCGTCGCGCCACTAGCCAATGTTGGCGCTCTGCGTTCCACCACGTCGGTGCGCGTCGAGAGCCGACGAATGCGCTTCTTCAGCAGCGCTGCGGCTCAAATGTGCTATGAGATCGTCAGGATGAGGTGACATCTGTGGCGTAGAAAATCCCCAGTTCACGCGCTAGATAAACCAGACTACGGGCATCAGCCATCAATAGCCAATTGCATACGAGGATTGAACCTGCATAACTTCATCACTTAGTGGTACAGAGAGCTTATACATTGACCAGTGTCGCTGCAAATCTCATGATCATACACTCATTCAGCAAGGCGTGATTTCTACAGCCGGATGGTGCCGTCAGAAACCATTCCTTGAGGTAGCTCTTCATGCAAGTCACGGTCGACTGGATGTACCGGCCCATTATCATGTTCGCGTTCGTCCTCATCTTCGTCACGAGCAAGAGCTTGTTCCTCGTCTCGTTCCACAGTTGAAGCGTGATGGTGGTTGTATAGCCGAGAATCGCCCCGCCACGCCTGTGCACGCTTGCCGCTGAAACAGCGGTCAATCAAACCCGAGAGAGCATCCAGAGTGTCGGTGAAAGAGAAGATCGAAATACGCGGGAGTTGTTCAAAGCCGGTCTTCTTCAGCACGAAGCGGTTATACGCCGTCATGCCGACGATGTACCCCACGAGCCCAATCATTAAGCTGTACAAATCAATATCAGCGCCCAGTACTGTGAACACATGGCAAAAAGACGGACATAGCAGCGAGTACAGCTATGACAGACGCCCAGAAACCGCCAGGCCTGGCTGCCGGGCATGCATGCTGCGAGCGGGTCAGTCAGGGCAAAATCGCGATGACTAGACTAAGTCGCGTACGTGTGTACGCCACTCAAGGAAGAATGCGCAAGCATGTTCATCCTCGTATGGGAGCTGTGCAACTAGCTCGGGCGAACCTGTTACACGAAACGTTTGATGCTTAGAAGGCAATCCTGGTACCGTTTCGAGGCTCACCAGCGCCAAAGACACTAGTATCGCAGATGAAGCGGACAGCAGTCATAGCGGACATCCCTTCGCCTTTCGAGCAGGGGCTTCCACCCATCATGGTGATAAGGGGGTGGCCGTGCAGTACCTCGACGGTGGTATTGTAGGCACCAATGGAGAAGTCCCCTCGCTCTCTTCGTGTTACGGCGCCCACGGTGTCCGGATTGACCACCTGCGCGTTCCAGAGTTCGTACACGACGGGTTTGCAGACATTTATGTGGAATTCTTGCCCTCCGGGTGACTGGAAGGTATAGTCCTTCCTGAAGTGATCAGGTTCACTGCTGTTTTCGCGCTTGCAACGGCTCTTAGAAGCACCTATTATTTAACAGCGGGCGGAGATCATAGAACTTGCCGCCGTCGTGCACGGTGCACTCGGGTGTATCTTCCGCTGCCGCCGCCGCGCCTGCGATCGCGGCGAAGATCAGAGCGGAGGCAGAGAGCAAACGGCGATGCATCGTCGCAGATGAGGTTATGAGGCAACCAGCGTCCGTGCGAAACGAATCCGTCGCGCGCTATTCGTCGCCGGACTTACCCGCGAGCGCGTCCAACGACTCTTGCCTCCACCGTCCACGCTCTGCTCGGGGTCAGGCGCCATGCTGGCCTCACAAATCCTTCGCCGCAACATTGCGCGCGCCCCATCCGCGGCATCCCGCCGCTTCATTTCGCGCTCTCCGGCAACCGCCGCCGCCGAACCAACCAGCTCCGGCGGGGGCAGGCCTGGCTTCGCGCCCAGCGGCCGCTCTGTTTTCGATACACACACCGTCGAGGAGCTCCAGGGAATGTCCGCAAGGGATATTCTTCACGAGACTGGCTCGCGCAAAGACTCCCAAATGCGGCACTTCACCGGTATGCACACTCCGCCCTGTCCGGGAATGCAGTACTGACCTACTTCGGATAGTCAACTTCGGGTGTGTTTCAGTGCCCTGCCCGTGCACTCCAATGAAGCTAAATATACTGTTAGTCCTCAGCATCCAGCTGCTCACGGCGTGCTTCGTCTTATCCTCGAGTTGAACGGAGAGGAGATCCTGCGGGCCGACCCCGTGAGTAGAGACCCAGTACGCATCAATACATCTACTGACGCTTGAATGACAGCACGTCGGTCTGCTTCACCGAGGAACGGAGAAGCTCATCGAGTACAAGACGTACATGCAAGCGTTGCCATACTTCGACCGTCTCGACTACGTTTCCATGAGTACGCCTGGCTTCCGCACCTTTTCATTCAAATCCTCATGCGACTGTAGTGACCAACGAGTTATGCTACTCGATGGCTGTTGAGAAGCTTCTGAATATTGAAGTGCCGACCCGCGCCAAGTGGATTAGGACGTTGTTTGGCGAGCTTACTCGCATTTTAAATCGTGAGTAATGGAAATCTCAGTCCCTGCCATTCGCGCCGACGGCTGTTTAGATCTCATGGCCGTTTTGACACACGCTATGGATGTCGGCGCACTGACACCCTTCCTGTGGGGCTTCGAGGAGCGTGAAAAGCTCATGGAGTTCTACGAGCGTGTTTCTGGTGCTCGCTTACACGCAGCGTACGTGCGCCCTGGTGGCGTCGCGTTCGACTTGCCGCATGGCCTACTTGACGACATCTTCAAGTGGTCGACACAGTTCGGCTCTCGCGTGGACGAGATTGAGGAGGTCGTAACGGGCAACCGTATCTGGAAGGAGCGTACCATCGGCATCGGAAAGGTCACGGCCCAGCAGGCACTCGACTACTCCTTTAGTGGTGTCATGTTGCGTGGCTCGGGTGTGAAGTGGGATATTCGCAAGGTCGCGCCGTACGACATGTACGATCAGGTTGAGTTCGACGTCCCCGTCGGCAAGAACGGTGACTGCTACGACCGCTACCTCTGCCGTGTGCAAGAATTCCGCGAGTCGCTGCGTATCGTCAACCAATGCTTGAACAAGATCACCACCGGCGCCATCAAAGTTGACGATCATAAGATTGTTCCCCCACCTCGCGCTAGCATGAAAGAGAGCATGGAGAGCTTGATCCACCACTTCAAGATCTTCAGCGAGGGTTACTCGGTCCCGCCTGGCGAGACTTACTCTGCCATTGAGGCCCCCAAGGGCGAGATGGGTGTTTACCTGGTTTCGGACGGCACCAACAGGCCATACCGTTGCAGTATTCGCGCACCCGGCTTTGCTCACCTCGCTGGTGCCGACTTCATGATGAGACATGTGCGCTCATTTTTCTTCATGTATATCTACTGGTTTACTAACATTTCTACAGCACATGATTGCCGACGTTGTCGCCATTATCGGTACGATGGACCTTGTGTTTGGTGAGGTTGACCGGTAGATGGGTTCCTGTGTGCTGTGGAGGTCATGGCGCAGATACCTCACTCGTAGTACTCTGCCATATTCGTTAAACATTTATGCAGATCGTAAACACCTATTCGCCGAGCTACATTCATACCACCTCGAGAGGGTCTTTATCCTCCACACTAATATGAACCGTCATCTTTGGGTCGCTCTGGGCGAGTTCTGTCCGTAGCTTCTCCGCGAGCACCGGAAGATATCCGCGCTCGGTGTTGGAGTGCCCGCATAGCACGACATGCTTCCCTGCGGCCACTGCCGCTAGTGTCTCATGCTATACCAAAGACATGATTAGTGCCAAGCAGCGGCGAAGTACATTTGGGCTTACGTGCGACATCTCTCCGGTCCAATATACATCTGCTTCGTTGCCCAAAAGTAAACTCGCTCCAGATCCGGCGCAGATAGCTACGGAACTGACAACCTGCGTTGCCGCGTGCGGGCTTGCTGCGACTTGAACATACTTCAGGCCCAGATACTTCTTGATTCTCTCAACGAGTACTGCGAGCGAGACGCCCTCTTTCAATGTTGCAACACGTCCTGAGCCAGCGCCTTCGTCCTCTTTCTCCACGATACCCTTCACTGACGCGGGTTCAAGTCCGCTAGCAAGCCAGTCGGCAATACCGCCGCGTGCGGCGTCTAAGGACGTGTGCGGCGAGAACACAGAGATGCCTGCCGCCGTGCATCTCAAAAGAGAAGCTTGAAGTGGGTTGGAGAGCGTCAGAGCAGGGAGAGGCTTGAAGATTGTGGGATGGTACGAGACGATGACGCTTGCTGGGAGCGCGAGTGCTTCGGCGGCTACGCGTGTGGTAAGACTGTAGCGTGCGGGCAACACGGTCAGATGGGTAGATTCCTCTGTATATGTAGCTATATTTGGACCTACTCAATGGTCAGCAAGACCTTATGCGCGTCCGTTTGGGGTTGGTGTGGCGCCTCTGTATTCTGCGTTGAGCGTGCGTGCGATCATGCTTTGGAAGACGTTGAACCGAGCAGTAAGCCGACCTGTGGCAGGTTCAGCGACATCGATCGTTCCATCACGTGGGTACCCTACATTATCCCACTTCTCTGCAAGAGATAGTGGTGCGATGCGGTTCATCGCGTTTGCGACGGCGCGTGCTGCTGAGGTCATGGTGGCCGAAGGAAAGCCGAGGGAGTGCGCGTGACCGCGTGCTGAAGCTTACAGACCGTTCGGACCTTCGATGACGAGCTCCTTGATAACCTGATTCTGTACTTATGCTCGCGCACGGTGCCAGGGCGTTCAGAACCAACTCTCGCTTCTTCCTTCCCTTCACGCTGTTTTCCTCATCCGCAAACGCTCAGTCCTCCAACCCCTCCGCTAGACAACTCAGAGAAATGTCTGTCAAGAATCGCGTCGAGGTGCGTCTTATCTCCGAGTGGCGGATGTAGAGCAGGCTCGTTGAACGCATCGGACAGTCTACCATCTCCGAGAACAAGGTCGTCGTCTTTTCCAAGTCGTACTGCCCTTACTGCCGTCGTGCAAAGTCGCTCTTCGCGACCGAGTTCCCAGAGACCGAGGTCACCGTCGTAGAGCGCGTCCCATCACATTCACAGTCCATAAATGGCGTGCTGACCCAACACCGTAGGCTCGACGAGGACTCCGAGGGCTCCGACATTCAGGCATACCTCGCGCAAAAGACTGGCCAGAGTACCGTTCCCAACATCTTTATCAGTGCGCTCTTATGTCTGCCTTCCACCGAGGGACAGCCGCTGACATTGACCGCCTCTCTCTAGACCAGAAGCACATTGGGGGTACGTCGGGTTTGGTTCACCTATGTAAGTCTCATGCTGACCAGTCTGGCAGGCTCAGACGACCTTGCGGGTCTCAACCGCGTAGGTGGTGTGAAAAAGCTCCTGCTTTAGATGATTACTTCTTCGGGACGCGATGTGACATTCTGTAACAAATATAGTGATACTGGATAGATGTCAAGCATCGTTTGTCTTTGTGTGCTGTATGTCATCGCGCATGCAAGGCCCTAGCCGCCGAACTGTACGGTCAGCGGAGCACGCAATCGTGCGTCTATCCAGCGTACCGCATGATGTCGTCGACGTATTCCCATATCCGTGGGACACTTACGCCGTTCCTCCCATATTGCCTCGAATGGCTTGTGGATTACCCTCTTGAGCTGTATGGCGAGTCGCTTGACCTCCTTGGCACTTCTTCACTCGCGTAGGGCTTCGCTCTTTGATGCTATGGCTGCGTGCGAACGAAAATTTTATGACCTTTCGACGAAGACAGTACTTATATGTAGGGCAACTTCATACAATTCACAGCATGACTTCGTACTCGCGATGGCTGTCAAAAACTTTGTCGATGTGCGTGTTCATTCGGACGACACCTTCTCAGCATGTTCTGACCTGCCGGACCTGCGCAGAGAGTGATTGCTCAGAATCGCGTGGTCATGTTCGGGACAACGTCTGGCCGTACACCGCACGCTCGAAGGAGCTGTTTCTCAAAGATTACAGTTCTTTACTTGTTAAAGAGATACAGTACGTACAAGGTGTTTTCTTCAGGCCACGGGGGTCTTGAAGCATACAGTCTCGATGCACTCTAAGAAGGCTCAGACATTGGGGGTTCCTGACAATCATCACCGGGCAGACGTCGAGACCAAGCATCTTCGTCAGTACATGCGTCATCCTTCCTTGCCACTAGCCTTATATTGATTCTCAGGCGCTCCATCTCTCTATGGCTTGTAACAGATAGTCTCCATGTTGGTGGACGAGACGAGTTGGAGAACATGCACCGCGATGGACGCCTACGCATCTTAGTAGCGGGGGGAGGGATTGGTATTGGGCCATTGTAGCGTTATGAATGATCCTCGTGTAGAATCTAGAAAATGATTGAAAAGCTGAATATCGTATGGATCATTGCGAGCTCAGGCTCGTTACATGTATGCCACATTACGGCAGGGATACAGATGAAGTCACATATACTGTGGCCGGAACGAGCGGATGAATAGGAGTGTGGGTGTAGGATGAAGCCGGCAGCGCTGGGATGAGAATGAAGAGGAATGTCGGAAACCTCACAACGAACAGCACACATCTGATTTCATAAAAGCGACGATCATAGGAGAGCATGGCAGCATGATCCTCCTATGACTCGTCAGAGTAAGGCGGCATCGGGGTGTTGGGCGGCTGTGCTGGGAGGTTCGGCGATGCCAGACCGTCCGCTGCCACTGCTTCGTAGACTGCACGTACGCGCGAGCTCTGAGACGCGCGCCTACTCGGACTCCACCAAGGACGCCCGTCCTTGCTGTCAGAGCTGGGCGATGTCGTAGCAACCTGGAAAGCTAGACCGGTCGCATCTGGCCAAGCACTAGAAGACGTTCCCGACGGATGAACGAAAGAGAGCGGGAAGGTTGCCGTAGGCCGAGCCGAATGCGAAGCGTTGTGTGGGCTGGCTGAAGACGGGGCGAACCCGGCGGCGCCAAAGGTTGCGCTTGGCGTAGCGCTCCGGGTTGCGCTGGGCGTTGCACTGAAACGGTGAACCGTCGGATCCGGCGACCATGGAGACGGCAGCAGTGGTGAGGCTGCCTGTCCACTGCCCTCATGCCCTAATTGACGGCGAGGCGGGGGCTTGGTTGGATCCGTCGGGCGTCGACGTTGAGGAATCTTGCTGACGACGGCCTGAGGCGGGACAGCACCTGAGGGGAGAGGAACCCCGCTCAGCGCTTGCTCGACAAGGAAGGCCGCGTGAGAGATGCCGGGTGGTGGTGTGATACCGGAAGGAAGGGGTGGCAGGTCGTCGAGTGCTTGATTCGAGAGGCTGCTATCGCTCGCATCATCTGAACTACCTTCCGTCCCAAATAGCGTCTCGTTCAGGTCTTCTGGGACAGCTGCCAAACTGGCCTCGCCGAACGCAGCCTGCATCTCGTTCATAATCTCTTCTTCCATTTCCTGCATAGCTGCCCCGATGTCTTCTTGGGACGCTGTCTCCGAAGGGCCGAGGCCAATGCTAGTGAGCAAGTCCGAGAGCGGACCACCCACAAGAGGGAGAGGCTTCAGTGGAGTCGCGAGGTCCAGGCGCTCCTCGAGATCGCGAGACTCAAGATCCGCGATATCGTTTGACGATGGGAAAGACTGATGCAGCAAGGTTGGACCAATCTCTACGGCAGACGTTCGCGAGTTGGGTTCGCCCACCGGGGCAGCCATCGCGGATAACGAACTAGAGGATGAAGACACAGCGAGGCTGGCAAGAAGAAACGAGGAGCTGCTAGAGATGCGCATAACTGATAGTAATGTGTGTTGTGTGAGGGTGATGGGGATGAGAGAGAGCGCCGGGCTGGGATATCTCCCTGCGAGCTAGGCGTTTAAGAAGCGAATTCAAACCGGGCTAAGACAGTTGCGCAATGGCAGGCCACAACGCTCGCCAATCCTAGTCTGAAACAACCATCGCGACCATAATTCAACATAAATGAATACTATCAGCTTGTCGTGCGGAGAATACATGATTGACTTCAGCATTACGATGAGGAAGGAGGATAGATGGGCAACTGCATGCATCGGACACTTAGCGAAGTGCCGTATGCTGTGAACACACGGGCGTCAGCAGCGACAAGGAAGGAGGCAAGAGCGCTCATACGCGGCATGCATTAGTATATCTGACGTCTCCGCGTTTCCATCTCCCAGCCAATGTCAGACTCCGTTCCAAAGGCTGTCCTTCGTCCACGGCGAGCACTGGGGCTCATTCCAAGCTGTGCGCTTTCGAGAATGGATTTCCATAGTTCAGACATAGCATTCAAGATGGGTCTTCCTAAGCATGACGACAACATGCACCAGAGGACCATGCCTACGCTGTCAGAGGAACGGGTCAGCATCGCAGACACAAAGCGCCATAAGGTGCTCATCCGGAGAAAGAGCGATCACATTAGCACGCCTAAGAGGAGAGCCAAGATCACGAGCTGTCCGGACTCGCTTTCCATCTTCTTGGAAGCCCTGATCAGATTTCGAGAGGTGTCACTTTCCTCCCGACGGTCGATGGCAGAGGAAACAGAGACGAGCGCACGCCTGCGCACGCGTTCCCGGCAGCACCCTCGGAAAGTTCCGCTGCCAAGTGATGGACCCTTCCGTCGGCCCCTGTTCTACGATAACAGACGCTGGCTGAGTATTGTGGCTCTGTCCGGTGTGCAAGAGTACAGTGCAATTGCGACCATGACAATGAAATATCACAGTCAAGGGAATGAAGAAACGGGCTTACGATTACGCCGGTGGTGACGGTACCAGTACCCGCAGGGCCGCATCTGGGGGATCATCATCATGAGAAATAGATAGCCAACCTGTCGGGTACGATATCTTACCCAGGGCGCCCCCAAGGTGAAAAGAAGGACACGACTGCCCTTGGTGCCGCACCGCCATCTTCGTCTCCCCTACATCGTCTCCCTTCCTCGTCTCTAGTCTTCCTGTGTGGCATTGCCCAGAGTGGAACGGCACATTTCCAACGAATTTTGTCCGTGCAGTGATCGCAAAGAAGAGGTGCGTCAGCGTTACCGTCCGACGGGCGTGGGAATATTTTCAAGTACCGCTGGGCTGGGATCCTGTGGCCGTAACGGCGGCCTGGCGTGGACTCGGATGCCTGGCGTGAGCAATAATGACCTACACTCACACTTGGCTCTCTAGCAGTAACGATGCCATCTCCACGGTCGTCAGAGGACTCGAAGCACGTCTCCTCGTCCGCGCCGTCTCCAAGCATCGTCAGTCCTTGCCCGCCTTCTTTGTACTCGCTCTAACGAGTGGGGATCAGCCCGATACTGCGGGTCCTACCGATGTAGGGCCATCTTCGTCTAAACAAGACTTCCCAGTCGACGTCGAAAGGCTGTCGGCCGACCGCAGTAACCTTGCACCTCGCGACCCCTTCCAGCTGTCTCGTGGTCTCCTCACAGACAGCCAGTTGACCGAACTTCGTCGTCGCAAGAGGGGCAAGAAGGTGGCCAAGTACCACTCCAGACAGAATGAGGCGGGTGCATGCCGGTGCTTTAGCAGGAGTGCTTACTAATACGGATCACTTTCAGCTCATATCCTCTTTGCTCAAGCCTATGGACGAACATACAGAGGATGCACGAAACGAAGAAGACGCTGCTCGCTTGCCAGTGAGAATTGTGCTTGCTTTTCAACTTGTTCCGTGTACTCACCAGCCGATATAGATCAAGATCGCCGTCCGTGGGAGTCTTATCGCGAACTTTATACTCGCCGTCTTACAGAGTCAGTGATACGAAACCGCATGCTCTTCACGCGTACTAACGTCCCGACGTCGCCCATGATAGTGTATGCCGCTATCTCATCCATCTCCCTATCTCTCATCGCCACGGGTATCGACTCGCTCTTCGACGTCGGAAGCAACCTCCTGATGTATTACATCTACCGCAAGGCAGGCCGTTTGGACGTCAACAAATGGCCGGTGGGTGGCGGTCGCCTGGAGTGCATCGGGAACGTAGTCTATGGTAGGTGCTCGGCGTCTTCGCTCCGAACAGATTGCTTATCTATGTTTAGGATCACTGTTTGTCGATCTTGCATTCAGCGTGTTTGGAGTCTGATGATACGTTAGCATGGGTGCAGTGAACCTTGTGGTCATCGTAGAGTCGGCCCGCGACCTCATCTCGAAGGGCTCGGACAAGCCCTTCAACGTCTCTGCCATCATCGCCGTTGCCGTCGCTTGGTGTACGGTCTTATGAAACCTGGACGGCTTTCATACGCTCACATTGCCTTTTAGTTGTCAAGTTTATTCTGTTTGTGTACTGCACGTCGCTCCGCAAAAAGTCCGCCCAAGTACACATGCTCTGGGAAGACCACCGTAATGACCTCTTCATCAACGGCTTCGGTCAGTCAGATTACCTTACTTCCTTTGTATGCTTCTGATATTTCTCAGGCTTGCTCATGTCGGCCGGCGGCAGTAAGCTTGTCTGGTGTACGTACCGTCCTCTACACGCTGAGAGCGAGGCTGAAGGTTGGTTTAGACTTGGACCCCATGGGTGCCATCATCGTGAGGTCCCTCTGGATTCATGCTACTGGTCATTGATAGCATTCACCCCAGATTGCTGCAATTGTCATCGCATCTTGGATCAATACCATCTACGGCCAGTTCGAACTGCTGGCTGGTAAATCGGCGCCGCACGAGTTCTTACAGCTGCTTGTATATAATGCCATGACCTTCAGTGACGAGATAGACAAGGTCGATACTGTGCGAGCATATCATGTTTGTCGTTCTTCCCCATCTAAACGTATGATGTCGCTAATCGATTGCCCAGAGCGGACCCGTAGGCAGACTTAGTATCCCCTCTTACACATACTGACCGTCCTTAGGAATACTTTGTTGAGATCGACATTGTCATGGACGCTAGCACTCCACTCTGGAAAGCGCACGACATCAGTCAGCAGCTCCAGGACAAGATCGAAGTCCTACCTAACGTCGAGCGCGCGTTTGTACACGTGGATCATGAGACAACACATACTCCTGTAAGCCGCTGCCTTCCCGTTACCGAGCAGGCTCTCATAGAAATGACGTCAGGAACATCGAAAGTATGTGTAGCATCCTTATTGCAAGCTCCCGAGCAATCCCCTCAAGACCAAACACCTATCACAGGCAATAGATCGTCTGCTTGATGCGCAGTTCACGGCGCTCAGCGCTCCGGGTTCCACCACAACGCATGTACTATTTCGGAGGTAGGTTTGAACTGGCTGGAAGTAGTTATGAACTGTGCGGTTTCCTGGAAGTTAGATCCGACGGTAAAATCTCTGAATAATACTGTATCGTTGAAAGAGTATGAAGACCATGTTCTAAGAATTAAAACCATTTCTGGGCCAAACTGGTACTGCTAGAGGCGTGACGGTTTTTGTGGCACTTCGTTCGCCAAGATTGAACCGGCTGATGGCGTGCCTGACGTCAGCAGTGAACCCTCCGTAGTACAAGTACCACTCAACTATATGCTCTCGGAGACAACCTCAGTGTTCCTTGATCTATGGCGAGTACGCTCGAATTTTTTCTCTCACAGGGAACGACTAGATACTCAGGCCGGAGCAGATGGACCCAAGATGGGCTGAGCTTACACCCCGATCCGCACTTCTACGATTTACACAGACAGTACCGCTCTACCGCAGTCCTCTCGATGTATGGAGGGCGTAGGTTCCATACGATAGAGTACTGTGTAAAATCTTCAGAGCAGTAAGATACCTGTGTAAAGCGGACGAAAAGGTATAGTTGGCCGGTCCAGAACTACTTCCAAGTTCAGCACTATCTCCGAAATAGTACACGTTACGCATGAATTTACCGAGATTTATTCTACTACATCACCATCCTGCCATGCTTCTACCTGTGCGATGTTGTCGTCAAACATTTCCATCAAATTAACTCCTTTCGGTAAAGGAGATTTCTTAGGAGGACGTCTGTGAGACACGCCGCCGTGAACCATGAGCAACGCCTCGTCGAGATCCATGAACCTAGCGTGACCAGCACTGGGTGAATAGTTACAGATGGAAGGGCTAGACTTGGCCCAGTTACCAATCGTTGTGCAGATCCTCGTTTTGCGTATTGCGAAGTGCGTGGCGATCACATCCTGATACCACGCAATGAAGTCAGTTAGAGAGGCTCCCAGCATCTGCGAGATACGTACAGCCCAGATACTCGTGCGATTCTCGGGCTTCATCCAGTCCACGATAGCCCATCGAGTGGTTTGCGCGCGAATGTTATGGTTATAACTGACGCTAGCCGGGTTATCGGGGTTAGCCTGGCCGTAACCGGGTCTGTGGAGGGTAAGTTCGAAGAGCGTGCTGATCATAGACGGCCGGCGCACTCATTGAAGTATGGAAGGTCGATGAGGATCATGCTCTGGATACTGACTATGACTTGTAACAGTGTTGACTTTCCCGGTTGCCACTGTTCTTCCGGCCTATCGTCGGATTCATGAGCGAGTAAGTCGACTACGCGGGACAAGACGCATCGTACCGCCCAGGCCACGTCCCTAGTAGACTCAGGCAGACCTTGCCTTCGTTGTATAGATTAGGATTGAAGCGTACTGAGCCACCGCCGGTGGTCCGCAGATGCAATTTCGGTGGAACATGGGGGTATTCAAGTGGTATGAAACAATCAAACTCAAACAACCCGCCTTCGTACGGCGTACCGTCCGGTCCTGCGATGAGGATCTTGCTATACACATGCGTGAGAAAGACGGTGTATAATGGCAAAGGTCAGGTGAACGTACATAACATCATTGCGTACTTCGTCAACACGCATGAAGACACCGGGTGGAAGACTCGTAGCTATTGTTGATAGCTCTTTGATGAGATGTAGCCGATTCTTGGGCGTACGCGTCGACGATGCGGATTCGCGCACTTCTGCGTTGTAGTAGAAGGGAAAGCGAAGTCCACCCGAGTCGCTGGAATCGGACAGTATTGCGTACGCGAAAGCGAGACCCTCGCAAGCCCGGGCGTACTGGTTCTCCATTCCGACGAGGTCGTCTATACCCTTGCCCTTGCCTTTTGCACGAGCCGAACTACGTGTGGACGGCCCGCAGTCCGGTTTTGACGTGGCGATTGACGGCCCCGCCTCTTGCCTTGAGCGACCCAGGACTGTCATGGCCCGCTCGAGGTCATCGCGAGCCGCAATGACATCTCCACACAGGGAAGCAGCCTTGATCGCCATCTCCTCCTCCTCACTCCCGCTGCCGTCCATAACTTGGTCGGCACTGGCCAGGAATGTCTCGCATTGTTTCGTGAGCTTCTTGAAGTGAGAGTACAGAGTCACACCACGCTCGTACTGCGGTGGTTCAGGGTCTAGACATTTACCCTTACCCTTCCCTTTGCTTGGGCTGACCGGTTTGCTGGTCCAATCGACCTCGCGGTTGTTGTCCTCGTCGACCATCCAAGCGCTGAGACCCTCCCAAACTTTCCGCTCGAATGGGCGCTCGATGAGAACGCCAACGGTAAGCTCACAGTCTGCCAAGCGGCGAAGGAGATTGAGTGTGGCTTGATAGACGTCTGCGCGTGCACTCCAATCGATGACCGAGTCGTTGCGCAATAGATCCGAGAGAAGAGCTGGGACCTGTGACAGACCAAGCAGCGGCCCAATCGCTGCATGCGGGAGGAGGTCGTAGGTTTTCGGGTCATCCGCGTATGGCTCGGGAAGAAGCAGGGTAATGACACGCAAAGCCCGAACAATGGTCTGGTCCCATCCATCTGCTACTGCCTCCGCATTGTGTTTTGTCGTGCGTGTCGCCCTACTGCCCCTCCGACCATGCCCACGAGTAGGTTTCAAGCGTGCTCCGTAACCGCCACGATAAGCGTAGAATCCCCCCGTTGGATGATGGCCATCATAATCGTCGGAACCAGTTCCATAACCAGTGCCGCCAGGACCTATTGAGTTTGACGCCTCGGTCGATCGTTCCTTAGCCGCTTTGTGCGCCCGTTGTGCCGATGCCTTTTGCTCGCCATTGTATAGACGATCGACTGCGCCGAGGGCTTCGTATAAAGCGATGGCGCGAACATCCGCGCAGCATGTGATTGCTTCGCATTCGGCAGACTTGGAATGACTTGGGCCTTTGCAAGAGACGGGGCAGGAGAGGACTGTTTTGCAGCCTCTGCAGTGAACACGTTTGCAAGGGTTACAGACGAGATGCAATGCTATCGCGAGAGTTGGGGGTATGTCATGAGCGGAGAAGACGGTCTAAGGGTGCTCATCAGGGTGTGTTTTTGGTGCTAAGAAAGGGATGTAATATTCACCAAATCGTGCGAAGCCTTCATGGTTCTCGAACACGAAGAACAGGCCCCGTCTTCAGTAAACAGCGAGACGTGTGGCGCCAGCTGCACATCGGGCGGAATGTCACTTTCCACAGTGTGGTACGTTGAGGTTACGATGGGCGGCTGCAGTCGGTTCGTCTCCGTCGAGATATTCTTCTCTTTGCGTTGAGCGATCAGATGTAGGGACTCTCGTCGAGAGGCCTGTGCCGAAGCTTCTGCCTTCATAGACTCTTCCATGGCCCAGCGCACAGCCGCGTCTTCGTCGTAATCTTCGTTCTCATCATCGACCAGCACGGGGTCATTATGGCCCCCAGAGCCACTGGCCTCTGGCGCCGTAGAAGATGGTCCGGCGCCTCCCGCTGGGTCGTCCGAGCTGGCAAGTTGGCGGACAAGAGCCTCGCTTTCTTCCTGTTCCTGAATGCGCGCCAATATGCTATCCATAGACTCCTCATCATCAAAAGCGTCGTCTGAGCTGGCCGCTAGCTTGGATTGCTTGGAGGGACGACTATCTGACACCGAGCCTGCGGCGCGTTTGCGCGGCATACCAAAAGGCTGAGACAAAAGAAGGCGGTCTAATGGATCTTATACTGGACAGCTCGTAGCAAGAGAAGCTAGTATATGTTCCCGGTACCGTCGGCAGTCCGTGAGCTATCTTATGAATGTTGAACGTTTAGGACAATGGGTGTTGCGGATAACACGAAAGCCGTGCGCAGGACGCGTGCCGATGCCCGAACCACGCGGTCACGCGACGAGAGCAAACGACCATGGTCTGTCCCAAACCATTGCTGTGTGCGTTCGTGCCTATGAGAGGATGATAGTGGCTCTCATGCCCACCGGTGCTCTTGTGTCCGGTCGACACCGATCGGGCAATCTGGGTAACGGTGCGATCCTCGAGGCATTTATGAGTCGTATCTCGTCAGAATCCATACTGCCTACCTCTCCGCCCTTCCAAGGGCGCATCTACGCATCTACGCATCGTACTATTGCTCTCATTCTACCCACTGCATGCGCCATCAGAATATTGCGCTAATGTCTAAGCTCGCCACTAGACTCCTAGCCTCCGTCACGTTCGGTATCTTGCTCTGTGCCAATCAACCCGTCTTCGCTCAATCGATTTTGTGAGTATGCCGTTCCCTTGTTCCCACTCCTTCTCATTGGTCCACAGAAACCACACACAACTGCCCAGCAGTACAACCGAGAGCACGATCACCGCATCGTCATCCTTCACATCGCAGCACACGGCTACTGCTGTCGCTGCTGCAGGCGAACAAAGCACGTTGGACCGCCCACGCATTATCATCGCGATCGCGATCACTCTTGCGGTAGTCCTACTACTCTGCACTGCAGTCGTGCTCTTTCTCAAACTGATGGCAGAGCGTCGCAACCGAACGCCAACGTCTCCGCCTTTCCCGACTGCTGCTATACCGGCGCGTGTGCTGGCCGGATTACAATACGACGAGCGTACATTCTATCGTCATGTCTCAGCCACCAAACGTGGTTGAGACATTAGTTGTACCAGCGATCCTCACATGGTAGAAACCTCCCCTATAGGAGTGCAGATCGCTGGAGGCGTAGAACGCATTGACCTCGCCGAATCCATTATCCGGGGTCTTTCACATCTCTATGCATGGACATTATACCCCTCATGACACCCTATATCTGTATCCTGTGATGATCGCGAGCCGGAAGTGCCCTTAGCGCCGCGCCTGTAGTGCATGCCGTACCTATCAATTACATATTGTGCATCCGCTGTTTTGTTGAGCGTCGAAGGCAAGTTGAAGGTGACGCCATTCAGGGGCTTCAGGCCAGAAACTGGCCCGAAGCAGAAGAGCCGCGCGCGGGTGACTTGCTCGCGCAGTAGTCCTCCTTGCTTTTGACCCCCATCCTCGCGCATCCTCTCCATATCCCATCCCACTCGCCGCGGCGGAAGTTTCATTGCCTTTGCGAGCAACGAGACCTGCGCACGCGCCGGTCACACGCTCGATTGGAAGTTGCAGTTGTGCCGCCAAGCTGCCAACGCGTTGTGCCATCCTCCGTTGTCTTTCACTCTACACATTTCTCTCTCAGCGCGCTTAATTTGACGCCATGGTGAGTAGTGTCGCAGAGCATATCACTCGCCGAACCACTTTCTATCTTCTCGAGTTAAGCTGATTGACCACAACCTTCCAGGACGCACACCACCAAGACCCAGAAGAGTTCTACGTGAAACAAGACCGGATTGGTGCGGATCGCTACTGTATATTATCTGAATGATACACTGATAGCCTGAGGATAGGAAAGGGATCATTCGGAGAGGTGTACAAAGGGTGTGTTGTCAACGACGCCCGCCCGCGTGCACCGTGTCCATTGATGCAATCCACAGATACGACAAACGTACCCAGAAGACAGTTGCCATCAAGATCATAGACCTCGAGAGTGCGGAGGATGAGATTGAAGACATCCAACAAGAGATCCAGATTCTTTCCCAGTTAGACTCTCCCCACGTTACGAAGTGTGTACCGCAATCGCTGTTAACCGTTCTGACCATCTGATCTCATCTCCCTAGGTACTATGGCTCCTACCTCAAAGGCGCGCACCTCTGGATTGTCATGGAGTACGCAATCCTCCCTCGATGACATTCCCTCCTTCGCTGATCATGACTAGATATTGCTCGGGAGGATCGTGTTCAGATCTCGTATGTACCCAGGCTTCAGTCAACCGTGCGAATCTCATCCCCCATCCAGATGAAACCTGGCGTTTTCAGGGAGGAGTACATTGCCATCATCATCCGAGAGCTACTTCGTGGACTGGACTACCTGCATACGGAAGGGAAACTTCACCGTGACATCAAAGGTACGCCGCTCTACGTTATGTTACATGTTGGGTCCCCTCACCTGAGCTTCTCAGCGGCTAATATCCTGCTTTCGGCCGGCGGCGAGGTTAAGCTCGCTGACTTTGGCGTCTCGGGCCAGTTATCGGGCACTCTATCGGCAAAGAAGAACACCTTTGTCGGCACGCCATACTGGATGTCTCCCGAGGTCATCAAGCAGAGCGGATATGATCACAAGGCGGATATATGGAGCTTGGGAATTACTGCGATAGAGCTGGCGAAAGGGGAGCCTCCTTACGCAGAACTACACCCAATGAAGGTGTGTGTCATGCGGTTCGCTGCGCTCCATAGTTCATGACCACTGTGCACAGGTTCTCTTCCTCATCCCAAAGAACCCACCTCCGCAGCTCGACTCTAGCTTCTCAAAGCCGTTCCGGGAGTTCGTCTCGTACTGCCTTCAACGGGACCCACGCGACGTCCGTCTACCTCCTATCAATCATTTACAGGGACTAATTGTACCTCACTCAGCGGCCGTCTGCTCGTGACCTACTCAAGCACAAATTTGTGCGCTTAGCCAAGAAGACGAACTATCTGACCGAGCTGATTGAGCGTCATGAACGTTGGCGAGCGGAGGGTGGGGAGAGGATAGAGCAGGAAGAACTCAATGCTGAAGATCTGTGAGTGTGTACAGCGTGCTCCCGGACATCCCCTCATATCCCTTCCATAGATCTGCACCTGCAGATCCAGAGGACTTGTGGGACTTCGGTACCGTTCGCAATGTCGGGCGTCCTGGGACGATTGGCCGCGCTAACCCGAATCCTGTGCAAGTAACGGGCCCGCCTCTGACGTGGGAATATACGAAGGATGGGACGGCGCAGCGTTCCACACCCGTACCCACTGTCAACGGTAATGGTGCCGGGACCGCACGGCGTGGCTCTGCTTCAGATTCGACCTCCATGGCTTCATCGATAACTGCGAAGGGCGATCGTTTACCAGCTGTGCCTCGGGAGGCGCAGGACCAGCAAGCGACTGTTCGGGATACCCCTATCAGCCAGCGGACGGCCTACCGCGAGCCATCGGACGAGTACGATGATTACGAAGATGACCACCCACCCGAAGACGAGCTGGCTGACACAGCAATGCTTGATACCGTGGTTCTTCCCGCCATTGCGTCGGTACGTTTCATACATATCATCGCTTCACGCCAGCAGTGCTGACCGCCTCCAGCTTTTCCCTCGAGTGTCAACGCAAGAAGCCCGCGTAGCGCTGAGCGCCTTACAGCGCGCCTTCACTGACGCTGAGCGTATCATTCCCGGCGTAACTCTGGAACTCGTGAATGAGATAGTGGACTCTGTCGAGCATGTTGAAGAGGACCCGCGTTAAGTCGTGAATCACCTCCCAGTTGACTATTGCTTTATACGTGCTTTCCTTTGTCATTCATCCACTGTGTTCGTCTCGCCCGCCAAGCTGTCATCTCCTCGCTACTCTCTGTCCTGTATCGTCCGCACCAACATCTATCCGTCCGTGCAATTTCCCGCCCGTAGTGTTCCGTCATCCCCACTTCATACCACAATCATCACGTAGGTAGTAGTGCTATCCCGTAGGCCACCATATCCATCTTTTGGAGATCCGTATGCAGATGAGTATGTACATTATACAACAATAGGACGGAAGTCAATCAATTTCTTTCCAGTCTGCGTGTTATGAAGGTGGCGGAGTACTGGTAGCAGACCCATTCGCAGCTATCTTTTTCTTCTTCTTAGTCCCAGTGCCGGCCTTCTTCGCACGTACAACCTTGATCGGTTCTGGCGTGCTCGGCGCGTCGTCTTCCACGACGTATTCAGGGAACCGAGAAGGTGGAATAGTAGGTAGAGTGCCGGAGCTACTGGCCATCGCAGATGTAGGCCGTGATGACTTCTGTGACGAGGGTAGAGAAGGTGGTATAGGTACGCCGGCGGGCATCTCGCCATTTCGGTCAATCGTGTATGCGATTGGCCGGTCTTCTGCTCTTGCACGTAGGACGGAAGGCAGTCGTGGCACTGGGGAGGAAGCTGCGATGGACATCAGAGCTGTGAGGATTCACGACGCAACGAATGCTCACCTATAGGCGCCGCGTGCATAGGCGGTAGGTCGTCTAGCCGCACGACAGGTATGGAGTCGATGTCTTCTGGTGGTGTAGAGCGCATAGGAGTGGCCGTCGGTATATAGTATGGGTCGTCTCGTTGTCGCTCAAGACGGTCTTCCCTGGCCTATAGATGATGAGTCATTTTGATATCTATGCCTGACAGAACCACGCGCCCTTTCGCGAGCCGCACGCTCTTCCTCTGTCTCCAATACCTCCGAAGTGAGGACTGCGCTACTTTCGCCGCCCCTATGATGCTTCGAGGTCTTTCCCGCGCTACCGTTCGCGTCTTTAGCTTTCGCCTTGCCCTTGCCCTTCTTCGACTTTTTGACAGAGTCTGTGGTGGACATTGGTACTTCAGCCACAGGCGGCGGGACGATCCACGCATCAAGATCGATGTCGTCGGGTGGAGGTATGGCGGCTTGTGCAGCAGGATTCACCGGGTTGAGCTCGTACGTTTCGAAGAGAGGTTGAAGGAGAAGCATGCTCTTCGGATATGCGGGCTCATTGGACTCTGCGAACCCTGTCGATGATCCGGGTTGTGAATGATATGTGGCGAGGTCCGCGCGTACGAAGGAGAAGAGTTGCAACGCGTTTGCCGCCTATCGATACAGCGAATTAACGTGTGCCCTATGAAAGGCTGGAGTACGTACCCGCTCCTGCACCTCGATGTCGGAGCTTGAAGCAAAGGTCCGCAAGGCTTCAATCGTCTCATCCACAACGGCTCTGACGCGGGGTAGATCGTCGTTATCCCAGTTCTGGGACAGCTCCGAAGCCCACAGACCGAATATCTTCAGGACCGCCTGAAGATGGACACCGATAGTAGCTGGAGAAAGCTCCGTGACGCCAGATTTCAACAGCAGCGGAATGAGTTTCTGGGGTTCCACAAGTTCCCTTCCGCGATAGTTCAGCTCAACTTCGTGACTCAGGAATTCGGACTGACTGACCCGCAATGCTCCCCGCAAATCCACGCGGCCGCCCATAAGACGTCCGCACAACTTCCCTCGTCTTTCGCATTTGCCACGAATGAGTTGTCGTTCAATAAAGACACCATGAGTTCCACTGCGCGTCTTTGAATCCCGCGGACCCGCGCCACGACATCGACCAGCTGATCGCGGATCTCGGAGCCGACGTTTACGCCAGCGACGTATGCGAGATCTACTAGTACCGAAAGGTACCACTGGAAATCGTTGACGTTGGCGTAGGTATCTTCTGCGCACATGGACAGGATACGTTGGGCGAGCGTGAGTCGGTATGCGGTTGACTTGGATGGTTTCAAAGCAACATCTGATGTCGGAGCGCCATTGAGCGATGCGTTCAGCGATTGAGCCGCTGTTGTAGTTGTTGTCGGCTCGGGGTTGACTAGGTGTGATAAGAGTTGTTGCACAATAGACTGCAGATTCTCGGGAGAAGCCTGTGAGGACATGTCAGTTAACAGCGCTGCGTATTAGGAGTATGACACTGACCATGGCAGTCAGAAGATCCAATGCGCGCATGCGAATACTGATGTCATGGTCGTTCACGCTGACTAAGATGATATCCTGATACCTCGCGACCAGATGAGGATGCGTCGGCACAATCTTGACAATGGCCAAGAGTGCTATGTACTTCACTAATCACAAGGTATCAGTACTACCTCAATAGTGGCATTGAAGTATGCGACGCACGGTTCTGGTCCGGATCGCCAAGGAATGTCGCAAGCTTCGTCACACAGGTCTCTGCGAGAGCGTTTCCAGAGGCGGATTGAAGCATGCCTCCAACTATGCATGTGTGAACACATTCGTACAAGAGGGAAATGGCCGGTGTGGTTGAAATGAGTTCCGTTATAGGTGGCTGCAACTTTCTGACTAGCCGAGGTTCGTAGGGTGACAAGAATCCGAACTACCGCAGATGTAAGCAGCGTAGAAGCGCGCATTTGAATATCGCACTGTACCATCTTGATGAGCTTTATGAGCATCCAGTTATTGGAGGAGGTCGTGAGTAGATGGAACAGTTGAGGGGCCAATGATAGGTACTCCTTTGGATCTACTCGAACGAGCTCGCACAATACATTTGCAGTGGCAGCAACGACACCTACCAGGAGTCAGTCATTGGTTCATGAGCAGCATACTCGCCGCTTACTGGGATCGGGATCGTCCAGCTTTTCCCGTAAGCGCGGAAGTGCATATGGCGACGCCTGCGGGTACTTGACGAGCATCTTGTAGACAGCCGCAACCGCACGTTTGCGTATTTGCGGTCGCGAGTGATTTAACATGGCGATCAGGTCGGTAGAGAGATCGCGTCCGAGGTCAGCCGTGACAAAGTGGGATAAGCCGTTAAGGCTGACGGCGACGTCTCCTGGAGTAGAAGTAAGGTCCTGTACGATGATATGAATATGAATGGGAATTAATATGCCTACACAGAGCACGCACCTTCTTCAACAGGTTCGTGGTGAGCATGAGGACATCCGTCTCTGGGCCGAAGCTTTGTGTTGCCGCCAGGTAGCCAACGGCCTTTAAATGGTACTTAGGCGAAGACATGACTTCCACTATATGGAAGGAGGCCCAGCTCATGTCGTGCCCGAGCATGTCCAGCTGCGGTTCTGTGTGAGAGCCGGACTGTGGTGAGACAGAGGGCGTACGTACATATGCGAGCTTCAAGATCGCGCCCGCCTTGAGCTCCATGTCCTTGCTCTTGACTTCTCGCCGAATCTCATCGACGGCCTGCGCGATAAACTTGGCCTCGTCTTTCTTGTTCGCGCGAAGCCCACGGATGAGATCTTGAAGTGTGCGCTCCCACATAACCGGAGCAATTAAGGCTAGTGACCGGTGCGCGGAGATTTGGAGAGCTCAAGTCACGAGTGGCGCAATAGTATGAGTGGTACCCAAACGAGTGACAGGGATCAGGGTATGAAGGAAGACAAGGCAGCGGCAGTTGCGGCGCGCCGGCGAGCGGTGACGCGCGAGGCGGCAAGTTGTCTGAACGCACTGAACTCCCACGACAGGTTACACCTCTACCGTCATCACCTGAGGGCCAACCAGCTCGCTGGCCTGCCAACACAGTTCGACTATGCACACCCTTCGCGGAGAAAGGGGCTCCGAACTGGATTCTGCTTGCTGACATGGTCATGCGTGGTCAATGGGGCGATTCAACTTATGACTATGCTTCGAGCCTGAGCCCAACCATGCGTCTACCGTAAACTCATGAGTTGGAAGTCCGTACCACCCACGTTTTGCCTGTGCGAGGCTACTGGGTCACCGGATGCGTTGCTCGTCGGTAGCGGTGTCAATGTAGAGATAGAGCGCCACGACGGGCTTCGACGAAGTCCCTTATCCGAAGTTAACCTTCGCCATGCTACTAGATTGGTGGGGCAGCACAGCGTATTGTGTCCTATCGCTATCCGCTTATAGAGCGTAGACGGTCCCCTTCACGTTTGCGTGGGGATGCGGGAGGCCGTCATTCTCCACGATCGTCCTACCATTGGCCCCAAGTGCTGGTGGATATGCCAGCTGGTATCTGATACTGTCGATGCCAGAAGCCAAGATAGGCTTCTGCACTGATAACCACAGACGTTATTTTCTCGTTTGATAAGGCCCGATGCGCCTCGTTTTGCGCAGAGACAGCGCTGGTCCGTCTTCCCGTTATATAAGGACCTCGTTCTTGCGGAATCAAGCCAGCGTTAAGCGTCCTATCACCCTACTTACCTCGACCATGCTTACCAACGAGCTTCCTCCCTTCCCTGACCGTATTCCTACCGTCCCTCTTGTAGTCATTGACTATCAGCTGATCAAGGCCGGCCATGCCTCGGAGATCGAGCGTCTCTTCCGAGCCGGGAAGGAGCTCGGCTTCTGGTAGTAAGTCGTTTCAAACCTCTGCTTCACCAGCATGTGATGATTCTGCATCCAGTCTCAAGAACCATGGCGTCGAGGATAGTACGGAAGACATGTTTAACATGGGCGCAGAGACTATGGTCTTGCCCATGAAGGAGAAGATGGCCTTCGAGCAAGGTGATAGTGGCCGCTCCTTTGGGTGAGACTTGTTTTCCTCTTCTACCTGTTCAAGGCTGACGTTTGTGTGCAGATATAAGTGCGCCGGTGCTGTCGCTACGGATGAGGATGGCACGCCAGACACCATCGAGTCTATCAACATCTCGCGCGATGATGCTCTCTCTTGGCCCAGTGTCGTACATCGCACTTATCCCGCCACCGTGAACGCGCGCATGGACACCACCATCAAGCCATTCATCAAGAAGTCGGTCGAGATTAACGATACGCTTCTAAACGCATTCAACCAGAAGCTCGGACTACCGGAAGGTGCACTCGTCAGCAAGCATGCTCTTGAAGAACGCACGAGCAGCGAAGCCAGGTGCATCAGGGCTCCCCCCAACCAAACAACCAAAGTCTCGCTTGACGCACACAGCGACTATGGTACCATCGTAAGCATACAGACATTGTATGAACGCACGCTGCTCAAGCGCTCATTACTCATGTAGACATTCTTGCATAACCGGGTCATTGGAGGCCTGCAAGTCCTACTGCCTGGTACGGAGGAATGGCGGGCTGTTAAGGTTTGCGCGTGTGATGCCACTCTTCTATCCTCGCTCATACTCGTACAGCCCATTCCTGGCCACGCAATCTGCAACCTCGGCGACGCAATGGTGATCTTCAGTGGTGGGATTTTGCGCTCTAACATGCATCGTGTCGTGTATGCATCTGCAATCATGCACTGAATATTACGGACTAATTTGAATCATTAGGCCACCTCCTGAGGAGCAGTCACACCACGAGCGCTGGTCTATGGCTTACTTCACACGTCCTGGAAATGGCGTCGTCCTTGAGCCTCTAGACAGCCCTATCATCGCCAAGGCTGTCTCGAAGGCTGCGCCCGGACAGTACAATACTGGCGTTACGGCAAGTGTCTGGTTTGAGCGCCGTATCCGCAATCGCCGCTTGGCCAATCGCAAGGTGCGCGTCACGTCATCGATTTTGGCCTGTCAAGCTCACAACCTTGTAGGGTCCCGAGACCTGGTGGGCGAGCCGGGGAACTGAGCACAGTGGCAATAAGCCGGTTTCTTACGCCTGAGCATCAAGTCTTGCGGAGTCTACGAATGCACGCATTTAAATGTACCATATCCTCGATCAGCACGAGAATATGAGAGCTTGCTAAATTTAGCGCGCCGCGCTCGTGACCGTGTTTGACGTGAGACGAACGAGAAGCGCGCGCCACACGCTCCGCGACGCGTCTTTCGCGAGTTCTTCTCGTTCCACTCGTACCCCATCCGTAAGACGCGCACGACAGCGCTAGATCATCTGCCCCTCCTACCATGTCATTTGGGTCGGTTTATGAGGAACAACACGATCCTGTTGCGCATATACACCGGCTACTCGATGACTATATCCCCACCCACTTGGCTACGGATTATAATGAATGGACCGAGCGCGAAGTGTATGAGGTACGCAGTTCATTCACGGTCATTTTAATGACTAACGAAAAGATACCCCTAGCTCTTGACGACAGGCTCTCAAATCGTATCGGATACTGATCCCCAAGATTTTGTACCCCCCACTGACCCTCTTCTTGACTTCTTGCGCGAATCCAAAGCCCCCAGATCGACTGCACTTGAAGAGAACCTACCCGTTACGAAGGAAGCACATGCCTTGATACGCAGTGCCATAGCGTCTCGTGAGAAGCCGTATGGGAAAACGTGCTTTCTGCAGGCTTCCAAGTTTGATGGTGAGTGTCGCGGCGTGAATAAGCAAACGCATCACTAATGTTGGTTAGTCGACTACTGTCGCTCGGAATTCTCTCCCCTTGAGACTCTCCTCAGCAAGCGCGCGAGGCGTACGACGCCGCATCCGGGAAAAGGCACCCTGATCGATCGCTTCTCTGAGCAGCACCCAGAATACAAGAAACTCCCAGACTTTCCGCCTGCGTACGGGGAACCATTTATCATACCTATTGTGGATGAAGACGATGCACTGTATGCTACGTGGTTGTGCGCTCACCGAAAACATGCTCAACCTTCCACAGAAATCTTCGTTTGGACATCAATGCCCCCGCCCGACAAGCTGCTGTAGACCTGATCAAGTCCAGCCCTTATGCTTCTAAGAATGCTGAACAGTCAACGATAGACCGACTAAGCTCTCTCCGAGCACCCTCACCTCGACGCGCAATTCTCCCTCGACCTATCACGCCCCCTATCTTTCCTCGCTCGCGAACGTGTAGGACGGAATCTACTCAAACGACCTCAGACGCCAAAGAGCAGACTTTCGTCAGGGCTACATCTATCCTGAAGCCAGTCAGCGTAGCCGAAGACGATGCCTTCTCTGATCATTTGGCCATCATTGATGGATG